GGCATTTATCTCTCCTATTCAGATGCGAAACGGCTCCAATTCTGCCTCCACCTTATCGCAGCAATAATCTTAATATCCCTAATTGCTAACAGAAGGTCCCCCCCCCCCACCATCTTTAAAACCCACCCGGCTCACAAACACATGTCCAGCAGCACTTCCTGCTCTTGGCTCGTGTGGAAGAAGCCTGAAATTGAGTGATATAATGCTGGGAGATTATTTTCGCGAAACAGCAGCAATGAAGCGATTACAAGCACAATCTGAGAAAGCTGGGAAAGGCATTCTGCACTGTGCGTGTTACAACTGTACATATTTCTAAATATATCTTCTGAAATACCTTCTATTTTTAAGCATGGGTGTGAGGAGGAGGTATCTTTTTTCAGGATTGTGTGTGGTTGGTTTTTTTTGGCGAAACAATGAAAGGGACCCCACACCTGAGCAGAGTACTCTGGCAGGAGGGGATGTTTGTCTTCGGAGGTGGTGTGATCTGGGGACAAGAAGAACCTTCCAGCCATGCTGTATCTGTGCTCGCCCCTCTCCAGGTGAGGTGAGGCAAATACTCTCTGGCTGAGCGCCTTACCTAATCTCTTCCCGGCAGGGCTAACACAGAGCCCTTCCATGCGTGCCTCAAGGAGTGTGTAATCAATGCACCCGATCTGCTTATGATCAGACCATGGAGTGGGCCAGGTGGTACCTACTGAGGCATTCGATCGCCAGGGAGGTGCAGCAGCACCAGTACCACCTGGCCCGTTCCGATCGAACAAGCTCGCACTGATGGCGCCCCATTCGATGGTCTGATTCCAAACCCATAGACCGATCAATGTATCACCGCACAGCTCCGGAAGGTCCAACATCGCTGTACGCCCTTGAAAATGTTTACCAGAGCAAAGCTGCCTCCTAATTCCGCTCTGCCCCTGTGCCTGTTACCATTTCACCTCGTCATCCAGTTCCTCGCTGTTTCTCTCCCGTGTGCTAGTGTTTGATCACAACAACTCGGTGATTCCCCACTGTGCTTCTGCTGAGCTTTTCCACGATCACCTTTCTTCTAGCGATGAATTCCAAAGAAAGGAGGAAAGCAGACCGGAGAGTGGGATAAAAAAAAGCAGGAGAAGAGAGAGAGAGAGGGAGAAGAGTAAGTGCTCCTCGGGGCGCAGGACAGGTGATTAATTGAGAGAGGCAGCCGGTCGGTTTGCATTGCCTTGTTGTGCAGTGTGAGCCTGTTGACACGCAGACAGAAACAACACCATCCTGTGATGGCAGTCTGGTCCCAGGTGAATTCTTCGCTCTCCTGTAATTATTCTCAATTAGCGCTGTTACCATGGCGAGCCCGGCGAGGAGGGAGGGAACGAGGCCCGGGCGATTCCCCAGCCTG